CGTGTCCAACCTTTTAGATCTTCTGGGCCGACAAAAATTTGTCGACAGCCGCGCACAGTTTATATATATTTTTTTATCGGTTCAACCTATATATTTTCTGAGGATGTTGAAACAACTTTTACAGTGAAACAATACGTGATTGATTGGGAAAATATATTTATATCAATTAAATTTGAACACGCTTGTTCTTTAGATACCAGTCCCTTAATATCTGGTTTGATACAAGTAGTAGTAATATACAAGAAGTAGTGATATTTTCAAAACGCTCTCTAAATTGTTTTGTTCCTGTTTGTATTTTTTTTGTGTGCTTCATGTCTGGGGAAAAGTATAACTACTCCCCGAAAGGGACATCATGAATATTCGTGGTTAAAATTATTCAGATAATAAAATTCTCATTCAATTATTCGAATTTTGGTTATACAGCGCAAGTGGCTGCGGTACAAACTAAATTGGACACGTCTGATTCAGAATTTCTCCAATCTTCACTTGATCACAAACTGATGATTATACAAAACAAATTTATCACTGCTAATAATTCGCAACTTCCGTTATTCGTTAAAATTTTACGTATATTTCGTATGTTCAATAGAACTCGGATAGAATTAAACAAAACTGGTTTCTTTCTCTTTTTTTTTCTTTTTTTAAATTATAAATCACTGAATTTTCGCCGGTCTCCTTATCGAGGATTATTCGAATCTTGTGTCAGTGTTTAAGATTTACTGTACGCTAAGCGTTTAAACAGTCCAAGGAATCTAGTCCGCGTTGATAGGAGAGTAAACCCGGGGATGGGAGCCGGTTGCCGGGCTAGAAAGAGTCCTCGAGTGTTTCTTCGAATTCGGTTCCCGCGCTTTATGCATGCGAAGTTTGCTGTAATCTCTCACCGGAGAACGCTATAAATTTTCGAGTAGCCGTTGCTTCGTTCTCGCGTCGACAGACGCGTCGAAATGTTGGCCATTTTGCAGAACGCTGTTGTATTGGTAAAAATGGAAAGAGGGGGAAAGAACTCGCTTTTTTTTCTTTTTTTTTTTTCTTTTTTTATTCGTCGACTAAATGCTACAGGAGATGCGTCCGGGAGACGTTAACTGTTTTGATAAATCGCCTTTGAAGAAGCGCGTTAAAAGTTTCGTGGGACGCATTGGAATCGAGCTGAACCGAAGGGATTGCAGGAATAAAGAAGCAGCTCCGTTTTTTCCTGCGAATTCTACTCGTTTGCCTCTGCGAGACGGATTTATTTGGACATTTTTTTTCATGAAAATATCGGACATTCAGAAATAAATATTGATCCTTTTGTTTGACATCGTTATACTTGAATACGTGTATTAGAACTGAAAGATTCATCCGGCGAAAATGGTACGGAAACGTGACATAATTATGGAACTATCACGGATTTATTATATAGAATGGCGCGATGCGATTACAATAGATTGAAACTAAACATAGACGGCGGATTTGACACCAGATAATTTCGATTACAGACAATGGCAGAGTGAATGAATATGGAAATTTCATCCTGCAAGATTGCATTTCATTATAAACGATACTAACGACAATGATAACTAAAACCGCGTTTCCACCAGTCACGTTAGATACAAGTTTAATTAACACTTTATCGCATTTGTATAAATGATTATTACACGTTCAACAGTAGCGATAGTTCTTTCGTATTCTTCGAAAAAAAAAAAGAAAAAGAAAGAAAAGAAAATCTATCTTTCTCGCTGTGAGAATATTTTCAACTTCAGCTTCTGGCTGATAATAACATTTTCAGAGGAATATTTTTAGAAACGATCGAAAAGTGAAGTTGCGCGAACTTGCACGAATTCGGGCGTTTCAAGTGCCAGTACTGCTCGCCACCGTACAATGAATTACGAATTTTATTCAACAAGCAGTTCTTGTCACCGGTAAACGGATCATTATTGGAAGAGTATCGTTCGTCGAACGGGGATCAATGGCGCATTGATTGGATTTAATTGGCCCCCCGGCGACGAGCACGCCGTCGCGACGAGTTCCCTTTGCGTGAACCGAGATTCACGCGTTTCCAGAATTCCGCATGGCCGGGTCCATAATTCAGCTCAGTTGTCTCATTATCCACGCTCTGCGGCTGCGCATTTTTCACCGCGTTTTCCATTAATTTCTACAACGTAGGTTTAAAAAAAAAAATCGTTGCACGTGCATCGTAAATAAAAATAAACCAAATTCGACTCGTTTGACACTACGATCGAAACTTATCAACTCGCGGCTGTCGTTTGCGCGAATCTATCGAAATTATCGCTCGAACATAAAATTTTCGTCAGAGACATTGAAGTCAAAAAAAAAAAAAAATAAAAAAACTTTGTAATACACGTAGAACGTACAAGCTTTTATTTGTATATTTCGCGAAAAATTAATTAAATTGTTTAACAATACACTGTTTTATGTCTGTAAAATATCAATAACGAAAATTATCAATTGGTCATTTTGATAGTTTTGATAGTTCTAGTGTTTTAGTGTTTCGCACTCTTCAGATTGCAGCGCCATATCGAAGCTTCCGCTCCTAATTACTTTCTCTCTCAATTAAACCACGTGGCGCGTATGAACATGCAACTTTCACTTTATCTACTTGAGTAGGACTATCCAACGCGCGGTTTTTTAAATGGCCCCTGGCACTAAAATAACGATCCTGCTGCTATTTTTTTTTTTTTTTTGCCCCTTCGTGTTTCGAGATTTGTGTATCGAAGGTTACGACGATTAGCTTGTCCTGGACTCGTCCTGAAATCTATATGGCGTACAGAGGCCAGTGATGACGCGAAGAAACGGGGGGGGGGACCTATGTACATATCAAGTATGCATAGGCCGACGTACGAAGAAACGAGAATTCATATCAAGCGTAGGGGCTGTTATTGTGTGGATTAAAGGCGACCGAACGATCCTCAAACACGATCAGCATAGTTATTGCTGGCAGCCGTTTGCAGCCGTCGTGTTGTTACGTGCCGAATAAATTACCGAATATTACGTCCGCGACATCCTGCCAAAAATGGAATATTAAACTGAAGAATGAAAAACGGTTTGCGTTGGTTGGCGTTCGAGCTGCTTAGAAAAAAAAAAAAAA